TTATGTAGGATAAAGCCATCTCACTTATATATCCATCCATCCATTGGCTTCCGCTTATCCTTTTCAGGGTTGCGAGGGGGGGCTGGAGCCTATCCAAGCTGTCATAGGGCGAGAGGCGGGGTACACCCTGGACAGGTCGCCAGTCTGTCGCAGGGCTAACACACAGGGACAGACAACCATTTGCACTCACACCTATGCACTTTATTTGCTTAAACTGCCCTTTCCTGTTCTTAATAAACACCTATTACTGTACCTACATTGTAATCAATTTAGTGCTTTTTGGCCACTTAAATTATCTTTAAACTGTTTGGTTGTATTTGGTGAAATTTCTGCTTCCCTTTTGGTCAGGTTGCTCCTGAAAACACAAAAAACATAATAAGAAATCATAATAAAAAGTAAAATAGAAAGTCACCTTGGTAACAACTGATTCCAGTTTGTCCCTTCTGGCTCAAAATGACTTGGTATTATTCACCCCAACAAGTCATTTGTTGCAACAGTGGCTCCTATTAAAAGCAGTAAGAGCAGCAAAAAGGTGGAAGATGAAAAAGGGATCTTTATTTTAAACAAAAGAAACAACAAGCTCTTAAGATGAATTTAGATTTTTTTTACTGACATTTAGCTGGTGATAAGTGAGCAGATAGAGGTTTTTTTGTTGACCTCTATTTATTGTAATTGTTTCAAGGGCTTGTTTTGTTTTTGTTACTGTTTGCGGTGTTTTTTAATAACCTGTCTCATACAATAGTCATTATTCTAAGCCTTTTTATTCACATTTTAATGACAGATTATTCTTGTTTTTATCTGTTATTTTTTTTATCTGTGTTTTATAAGGTTATTGTGTTGTGATATTTGTAAAATAAGTGCTTTCCAGGTGATGTCTCTGTGTGTTTCAGAGTTTCATGCTGATGTCCAACAGCTGTTGGTGATTAAAGAAGAGGTTCCCCCAGAATGGAGCCCCTCTGATGACCAGTGGTCCCAAGAGCCCCTGCGCATAAAGGAGGAGCGTGAGGAACTGTGCACCACTCAAACAGCAGAACACTTTAAAGGGCTGGAGGATGCTGATACCAGCAGGCTCCCGTTCACTGCTGCTCCTGTGAAGAGTGAAGATGGTGAAGAGAAACCTAATTCTTCAGAGCTTTACTGTCATCAAACAAGTAAACAAATAAAAACTGAGACTGATGGAGACGACTGTGGAGGACCAGAATCAGCCAGAAACCTTGATACAAAAAGTACTTTACAACCTAATGAAGTGGAAAATGATTCGGACTCCTCTGAGACTGAACTCAGTAACGATGGTGATGAATGGCAGGGACCTTTGTCAGATTTTAGACCTGAAACTGAAGACAGTGACAAGGACTGGGAGGCAAGCAGGTCACCTGAGTCAGGTGTAAATTGTCACGTGAGATGTGACACTACCAAAAAACCCTTTAGCTGCTCTGAGTGTGGAAAACGTTTTCTCCACAGGCAGTCTCTCCACAGACACATGAGAATCCACACTGGAGAGAAACCTTTTTGTTGTGCTGTTTGTGGCGAGAAATTTAGCAGGAAGACACATTTTAAGACGCACATGAGAGTTCACACAGGCGAAAAACCCTTTGATTGTGGTTTTTGTGGTAAAAGGTTCAGCCAGAAGTCAAATTTTAAGGAACACTTACGAGTCCACACAGGAGAGACTCCATTTGGCTGTGATGCTTGTGGGAAAAGATTTAGAGTTAATTTTACTCTTAAAAGACACATGCGAGTCCACACAGGAGAAAAACCGTTTGTTTGTGTTGACTGTGGCAAGACTTTCAGTTCCAATACGCACCTTAAGACACACACGAGAGTCCACACGGGAGAGAAACCATTTAGCTGTGGTGTTTGCGGCGAGAGATTTGCACAGCAAGGGGTTCTGAAGAGTCACACACGAGTTCACACAGGAGAGAAGCCTTTCGGTTGTGGTCTGTGTGGAAAGAGATTTAGACAGCAGAATACTCTCAAGAGACACATGAGCGTCCACACGGGAGAGAAGCCGTTCTCCTGTGGCGTCTGCGGCGAAAGATATACCAGACAGGGAAGTTTGAAGAGACACATGAGTGTACACACAACTGCAGCTTCAACAACTGAATCACATGCCTGTCATTTTGTGCCTGAACATCTCGAACCTTTTGGGTTATAGACACTTGACTTCTGTAGCTGTTTTCTGGCCTTTGATGGACCGGGCGCCTTTCAGTCTGTCTCACTGATTTTTGATCGAATGTATAAACACTACATGACAATCTGTCTGCTGGCTGTGCTAAATATGAAGAACTAATTCTACTGAACAGTAATCTAAAGTTTTTATTACACACTTCTCATTACTAATGCATTATAAAGTAATACCGCACAAAACCTAAAAAAAAAAAAAGGACATGCAGAAATGATTATTTTTAGTAGATATTTTGAAGTATTTGCCCAAAACAATGAAAAGTAGGTGACTGACAGCCTGTAGAGCACTTCACAGATGATGTTCTTGTGACTAGTATTTCTGATTTGTAGTTTGCTCTTCATGTGTAAAATATGCTGCTCTGTTGCCAGTAGACCTGTCTGTCTGTGCCTGGTGATATGCTGCAAACACTGCCCTCTATATGTAAAAGTCCTCGTAGCTAGACTGGGCTGACTTATTGATCCTGATTGCAAATGTTAGTTAAATAAATCCTGAATATGCTGAGTTTTTTTTCCTCATAGTGCAGGCCTCTGGAATTTCAGTCTTGTTGCTTCCTTCACAATTAACTGTATTAAAGATGGAATAAAAACTGTTTCTTCCAGCTGCTTCCTTTTTTGCAGATTACCACACATTAAATTTTTTACACTAATAATAACTGAACAATGTTTTTGGGTTTGTTTGTGGTTATAGAGCATTAGCAGTATGAATAAGGACTTTTGTTTTTGAATTTGGATGATTTTCCATTGCACTTAAATGAGCATGCTGGTTGTCTGACAGTGAATAGATCTGTTGAGAAATCAACACCGTTTTGTGGGGATAGTGTTAATAGTAGATAGTGTGCATATACTTTGTTTTGAACATGTTAAGTTAGTGATGGCGTGATGAATATTCCGAGTCTTGAAGGCGCAGCGACTTACAAAAATGGATGTGATTGTACTTCTCTGAAAGCTCGTATGTTGTTCTCCATATAATCAAAACTGCTGAACACATAATCTGGTCAACAGCAGAGTTTTGAGTTTAAAACCACCAAATTTTCACTGATTATTTTACCAATCATGCTGTGATTCTCTGCTGAAGGAATTCTTTTACATACTCAAACTGTAAAGCTGATTCTCAGTAATACCAACAAAAGAATATGTGCAGTGGATGTGGTACGCATATAACAATGTTTCTATGTTTGGTCCTGATTTGCAGATTAGAAAACTGATCATTATTATTGAGTATTTATTGCAAAAAATATAAATTAAATGATTTTCCCTTTGACCTTAAACTGAAGCTCTTTGCACACTGCCTTCATCAAATTATGGATAAGTCATTTAGGTTAAACTACTGTGTCTTCATCAATTAGGAGCCATGCAGGCAAAGGTATATATTGTGTCCCACCCCAGTTTGCAGCTGGGATAGAGTGTGATTAATGTGGGAGCACACAGGCGTAGGTGCTCAAAAGTAGATCTCGCAAAACAAACTAGGGATCTCGCAAAACTAACTCGGGATCTCGCAAAACTTTTGCGAGATCCCGAGTTGTAGTAGGTCTCGACCTGTAGTAGGTCTGTAGTAGGTCTCGACCTCCCGTTAGCTTCGAGATGGTGGGTGTCAGATCTCCGAAAACGTCAGAGCACTTTTGCAAATATGTGATGTCTTAATTTTATTTCTTCTCCCATGTACCCTGCGGGGCTCCGTATGATTGGGACCTGATGAATGTAAAAGCAAAGATTTTTTTTTTTTACCTAATTTTTGTTTCTAAGAAAAATCAGAGCCACATATGAGGATATTCGTTTAAAATTTCAATAGAACAGTAGCAGGATAATGTCCTCGTAAGTGGGTATCAGGCCCTTGTAGAGCAAAATTGAGTATTTGGTCTAAATAACCCAAAACGTGATTACCTCATATGTAGACGCCAGGTCCTAGGTTAACTCTTCTTTTGATAGTCATTTGTATAGTTGTATAGTTTTCCTTCCTCTTAATCATTAGCTTAATTAATGTAAGCTGTTCCTTGGATTCCCTTCACTGGACACAAATAGCCTGTTTCCTTTCGAGCATTTATAGTTTGAATTTTTGACCTAACTAAACTTTAGCTTTAGTTAGGTCAAAAGCTTCTTTTTGCCCACCCGTCCCATGTGGAACATGTATTCATCTTTATGTGTGGTTTTATAACTTTTAAGTGCTTTGCAAATATTTGATATTATTACATCCAATGAAGGTTATATGACTTGACCTCACATGCTGATAAACTTGTTAAAACAACATCCGGGTAGCGTTGGAAAATGTTAACAAGCTCCTCCAGTCTCTAGGCTACAGGATTTTGAGTTCTGCCAATATTTTGCACTTACCTTTAAGATCTAACTAGTCCTAATGACAGCTTTAATTAAAAAAAACAAAAACAATCCAGCTGTTTTGTTGAGGACAGTCTCACCAAAACACTGAAGAAGAAGAATCATATGCTGTTACTGTAACAAAAAGGTAAGTCTGAGAACATTCTGATGCGTTACAGGAACACACCTTTAATAAAACACTTTGAGAGACAACATGCAAATACAGCAGTACATGTAGTAGTGTTCTCGTCAACAGGCAGCTGAATCTGAAAGTCATTTACATTACAGTACATACATTTTACAAACAGGATTGGCTGAAATGTATATTATATTACAAAGTAGTATTTTTCAGTGAACCTGCCAGTAGCACATAGTAAAAGAAAAAAAAACATTCGTTTAGTGATGCTACATGGGAACTAGGGTTGGGCAATATGTAAAAATTTTCCAACCGGCAATCGTCAGTCCAACAATCGCCGATGGGCCATATATTCGTGCGTGCGCAGATGTCTTGATGGGCGGGGCTATGTAATCATGCACGTTTACACCACAGAAGAAGTTCAAACATGGGTGAACTAATTTCCAAAAAAAAAAAGCAAAAAAACGCTGTCAGCGCTAACGTGGCTTAAACACGGTCATCACGATTAAAATTTTTAACGCTCTCGACCCATCTGGAGCGCAGAATGACCAAAATTAGGACAAACTGCCGAAATGCGTTGACAGAGACATTTCAGGGATTTTGACTCAGTCTGCGCTCCAGATGGGTTAATTGTAAATCGCGTTAGTCATGATGAAGGAGTGTTAACGCTGACAGCACTAAAAAATTAAAAGTTGCCAATTTGGGATTTCTTTGGCCTTAAACCAGATGAAAGAGGTAAACCTAAAGATGTAACCAAAGCAGTGTGCCACTTGTGCAGACGTATAGTTCGAGCAAAGTACTCAAACACGACTAACTTGCATGAGCATGCACGTGTCCACCATCCAGCTGAGTATGCTAGGCTATCAACAGCTTCTGCAGCCACATCAACAAGCACTTGGGCACACTCTGAGGTGGGGGCATTTGCTCGCAGATGAAAGAGGGTGCTGTTAAAACAGTGCTATTTTTTTTTCTGTTGACTGCTTCTATTAGCTCCATCATTATTAGCAAACTTGCTCATGGGCAAACAAATAAATAAATCGCCCTTGTAAAACTAGTCGATATATTCGTCCAATTGCCCAACCCTAATAGGGACTACCATAATAATCCACCATAACAGTTTTTAAATTATGTTTTCTGTTCAGATTAGTTTCATTCAGACTCACTGCTTAAACATCAAAACACATTATAAAAAAGTCTTTGTACGAGCACAAGTATTGGTGTGGACTGACATACAACAGAGCCCAACAGAGAGTTAATACGTAGCGCAGGCTTAAATTAAGTGTTTTTAGTAACAGTACAGTTGTTTTCTATTTGAGTTCTTTAAATAACAAAACCTGAGGTTAGCTTAGGGAAACTAAAGAAGCCTCAGCATTAGTATTTCATTAAACATCCAGCAGATGAAGCAAATATCATTTTGTTTAAAATATTCTGAACTACGCACTGAAGAAAGCTTAAAAAACGTAAACGTTACAGGACAATTAAAAAAATGCTGTGGTTCTTGCAGACTTGCCTCCACACGGCAAATAATCTCTTACAACAAACCGAGCAGCCTTGACGTTTTCATTCTGCGTGGACTCTCATGTGTGAGTTAAGATGCGTCTTACGATTAAATCTCTTGCCACATTTGTTGCAGTGAAAGGGTTTCTCTCCTGTGTGGAGCCTCATGTGCTCCTTAAGATGCGTCTTTTGGTTGAACCTCTGGCCGCACTCGTCGCATCCAAACGGTTTCTCTCCCGTGTGGACTCTCAAGTGAGTCTTAAGATCTGTGTTTCGGTAAAACCTTTTACCGCAGTCCTTGCAACCGAAAGGTTTCTCTCCAGTGTGGACTCTCATGTGGGTCTTAAGGTGCGTCTTTCGTTTAAACGTTTTATCACAGTCACTACATTGAAAGGGTTTCTCTCCTGTGTGCACTCGCATGTGTGCCTTAAGATGCGTCTGCTGGTTAAACCTTTGCCCACAGTCTTCGCAGGCTAGCGGTTTCTCTCCGGTGTGGACTCGCATGTGAGTTGTCAGATTTCCCTGCTGGCTGAACCTTTTACCGCACTCCTCGCAAACAAACGGCTTCTCTCCGGTGTGAATTCTCATGTGCGTCTTAAGGTGTATCTTTTGGTTGAATCTCTGTCCACAGCTACTACAGCTAAAGGGTTTCTCACCTGTGTGGACCCTCATGTGTGTCCTGAGATCTGACGTTCGGTTAAATCCTTTACCGCAATAGTCGCAGCTGAATGCCTTCCCCCCGTTGTGCATTTTCTTGTGCCTCTTAAATTCTGATTTTCGGTAAAATACTTCACTACACAACTCGCAGATAAACTGTTTCACACCTGTTGGGGCCACCACCTGGGAATCTACGTTTTGCTTTACCTCGCAGCTGTTATCAACCAAACAGCTGGAAGGAGTTTGTCCTGAATGGCATGTCAGCTGTTTCTGAAGACACTGCTTGTAGATAAACTGCTGACCCCACAAAGTGCAGCTTAAGAATTTTTTTGCCGCATTACAATCCACATCCATATTTAAGTCTGACTCCAGTGCCCTGCCCTCCTTCCAGCCGCCATCGCTGTCTTCGTTTTCAGGTCCAGACTCATCAGTAGTCTCAGAATAGTCTGAAGCCTTTTCATCAGCATCAGGTTTAAACTCACTTTGAAGATCCGGGTCACTGCTCGGTTCTGGTCCATCGCTCTCAGGCTCTGTATCTCTGTTGTCCTCAGCTTGGCTTTGATGAAAGGGTATGAACTGAGGTTTTTCTTCATCATCTTCAGTTTTCACAGGAACTGCAGTGATTATGACCTTAATGATATCCGCCTCCTCCAGACCACTACTCTGCTGTTCCTCGTGGCTGGTCAAGATTTCCTCCTGTTCCTCCTTTATGTGGAGGGTCTCCGGGTTCATGCTGGTCCAGACTGGGGTTTCGCTCATGAGGAACTTCTTTAATCACCGACAGCTATTAAACATCTGCAGGAAAAACAGGAACAAGTTAGGGATGTAACTGTGTCGACAGTTAAATCCAGCTGAAGAGCAGATTCTCAGCAGTAATTCAACAGGCTGAACAAAAATGTAGCATTAACCATAAAAAAGTAAAGCCAATTTTATGCAGAACACTTTTATTCCTTTTGTTTTTCTTATTTTTTTAATGAATGGCCGATAGGCAAACTAAGGCTAGATTTTCTACATTACGTCTTAAGAAACGCCCCTGAATGCAATATGATGCTTATGCTTCTTTCCCTGCACATCAATTTTGAAGGCTTTTTCACTTTTTCTAACACTGATGATCAGGATAAACAGCAGCAGATTAGAATCAAGCATAACATTTGTACATTTTCTAAATCATCAAATTAATACACGCAGTTTCCTGTAACAAAGCAAGTCACAGTTTTCACTTTAGTCAGTGATTTTAGTAAAGCACGGCTTAACAAATTGCACACATAAAACATGCTGTAAAGAAAAGAATCAGTGAAAATGTGGTGATTCCAGCTGATTTAAATCAAACCTGCTCGCTCCTAGCAGTTTTAGTTTTTATTCTATCAGCTGCAGACTCATTTGAGAGTACAGATTAAATATAAAAACTGACTTCAAGCATAGGCTCAGTTTATATACAAATTTAATATGAGATCAGCAAGTACAGTTTACATGGCCTGTTTTAGGATCAATGAAATTGTAAAACTGTTTGCTACCAAGAGGAAAAAAACAGGCAAGAAATAAAATTGCATTTATTTCTTTAGAACCTTCTACTGTTCACACACAGAGGTCCAAGGGATCTTCCAGGAATGATGACGCTATTTCATGGTGAATTGATTGGTCAGTAGGCAGAGATTTCATACATGCTGATCTCTAATCTGGAGGGTTAGGGGTATGAAATACAAAATCCTGCTTTGTGGTACCTGCTGCAGACCTCTGGGGAATCAGTGGGAGGGTCTAAAGATTTTCAGTAGCTTCTAAAGTCTTTGTGTTTCCCTGATGAGCATCAGTAATAAAAATAGATCCTCAACAGCAAACAATTTTATTGTTCTATGAGCATCATCATATGGACGATCTGAGAACTGTCGACATTGCCTGGGACGAAGCTGAAGCAGTCGCTGCTGACCGACATCGATGGAGATCACTAGCTGCCCGATGCGCCGCTCGGCGTAGGAGGAACTAAGTCTAAGTAAGTAAGTATGAGCATCATCTAATCTTAACCTACACTTTACTTGCTTGTACATAAGCCTATGTTTGAATTCTGTTTTTATATATTATTCTTTACTCTCAAACACTAAACAGCACCAAATCTGCAGCCAGCAGAATAAAACAAATTGTTGGGAGCAGGTTATGTTCAGAGTTTCAGTTTAAAATAATGTGGAACTGCCATGTTTTTATACCTTTATAAAAAGATGAATATTTTACACTGCTGGAAACACAGAGTACAAACTAGGAATAAACTAGGCTAAATCACCAGATTAATGGCTTCTTGTCCTTTATAGAGAAGTCCTGCAATATCCTTGGATATGTAATAAGTTCTGAGGTGCCATTTTTCTTCATTTATTTGTATTTTCATATGTTTATTAATAATCGTTAAAGTACGATAATATTGGATAATACTGGATTTGCTGCAGTCTAAAAAAAACCAAACAAAATCATGATGGGGGGGATCGGCCTCAACAGGATGTCAATGTTTCTGCACTTCCGGTTCAGACAAAGAGCTGGAAACCGTCCGACTCGCCAGCTGCTCTCTTCCCCCCTGCGGCTGCGGCCTGCAATTCAGGCTCAGCTCATCTAATTCTGGCCTATATAATCGACAAAAGCGCCCAAATACTGCGTTTCATCGCGGCTTTTGTCACAGACTGAATAAAAAGAGATTTTTTACTGTAAAAATAACTTGGCTGTGTGCGCGCTGTAAACCGTCCGGGTATCCGCTTCAATCCTCGCTATTGGGTTCCGCCTTTTTCATTCGCGTTAATACTTCATTATTAACTAATAAATAGCCGAACTATGGTCTTTTGTCATTTGTGTGCCGTTTGGGATTGACAAGAGATGAGATGCTCCGTTTTTGTGTAACTCTTTTCTTCATCCACCCCCTACGATGAGCTAGCAGCTAGCCGTTTCCTCTCGGAGAGTCACTGCACGTTAAATCTGAGTTTTCTTACCAGCGATCTCGTTTTTAATCGATCCCCTGGTGCTGATAGACTTCGAGGGGTTTAATTTCTGGGTTTAATTCAAAAGACCGTCTCAGTGTTGCGGTATTGAAGATCCACTTCGTTTATTGTCTCCTTTTTGCTGCTCTTCTTTGGTGAACAGTGCACGGGGAGCTGACTTCAGGTGCGTTAGCACCACCTTCTGGATTGGAGTATGAACTGAAACCTTTGGCGCCGGTTAAAAGGCGTACAAGTGGGATGGTATGTCACTCAGTATGACCAAAAATATCTTGAAGTAAAACTTCATTTAAAATAACGATAACCTCAAATATAAATGAGTGTAAATTTAAACATATTAAACAATTAACAACAAAGAAAACATTCTTTCATTTTTTTAGCTGATGGCTTTGTGCCAAACTAGTGCATTTACACATGTGTTGACACACAGCTATTCTCAATGCATATCAGCAAGGTGGAATAGCACGTTTAGAGGCCCTATGTCATATCAGATCTTAAGTTAAAGAATAGATATCTTTCTCACAAGAGACATGTGTAATTTAGTTTAAAAGACTTGTTTCAAAAAGTTGGAAACAATCATTCAGTGCCTGTTGGGGCACAAATTTCTGGCTTTCATGCAGCCAAAATCAGCATAATTCTAATTTTATATTCCAAAAGATTTATAGAAACCGTGCTCATTATGCAGAATCATGATATTATGCATTAATTAATATTTCATTTTGAATGTTTATAGAGCTAATATATTTTGGTATTTAGAATTTTGGAGATTTTAGGATAGAAGTAACTAAAGCTTTACGATAAATGTTACAGCGTACAAAATTTAGTGGAGAAAACAGAACAACATGGAAAAGGTGGTGCAAGACTCCTGATGAAGGTTTCTTCCTGTTAAAAGGAGTTTTTCCTTCCCACTGTCACTAGGCGTTTGCTCACAGGGGGTCATTTCATTGTTGTACTTTCTAGTTTTATTGTAGTGTCCTTACCTTAAAATAAAGCACCTCGAGGTGACTGTTGTTGTCGTCATTTGGTGCTATAGAAATAAAATTGGACTGCATGTTATTAAGTCATAGGCTATTCTGTGCAATCAGACATGATACTGACTTTATACAAGGGTGCAGGGCAGCTGAAGACTGATTAATGTCTGAAAAGCTCTCAAATACTGTCTGGGTCACAGTGGAACAGTGGTTAGCAGTGTTGCCTCACAGCAAACAGCTCCTGGGTTTGAATCTGCCTGCTGTCTGGGGAGTTTGCATGTTCTCCTTGTGCTTGCATGACTTCTTCCCACAGTCCAGAGACATGCTTGCTGGGTAAACTGGCCGTGAGTGTGAATAGTCTCTCTGTGTGAGGCTTGTGATAGACTGGTGACCAGTCCAGGATAAGCTCCAGAATTCCTCATGACCGAGGATGAGAAAATGCAGTTAAGAAAACAGACCAATAAATAAATTCTCCATTTTATAATTAGTAACAGTAAATGTTAATTTCTAGAACCTTCCTCTTGATCTTTGGTAGAAAAAAAATTAATCAAAGCTGTAAAATAAAGTGTGACTAAACTCTCAGGTTATGACAGAAAGACTCAAACTCATTGAGATATGGATTTAATTTTTTTTTAAAAATCACAATCAATAATTGCACCGTATATAAACCAGAAGTCTCCTTCCCCTCTACAGTTTGCAGAAATGCTGGAAATATTGCATTGCTTTTTCTGCACTGATTTAATAACACAGAAGGCTAATTTTTAAATACACACGTTCCCTGATGTGACCGTTTTTGGTTTGGTTACCTTCCTTCCACTTCAAACTTGTAGTATTGTTAATAAAATACAATAAAATCCCCTTTAAGCTTGAAGACAGTACATCCATGTAGTCGAGGGCAGACCCCCCACGGTCACTTCAGAGATAGAAGCTGATGAGTCAGAGCTGAAGGAGTCTGGCAATAAAGTTCAGTTCTTACAGTAATTAACCCAAACTGCTGTTTCACATTGAAGGCACTGAAAGTCCAGTAGAGGCCACAAAGTGTAGTTAAGTGTTAAAAAAAGAAATTAAAATATGTTTAAAACAAGAGAATAAATTACGTCCCTTAAACTAAATACTTAATTTGTTTGTGAGCTTTAAAGTCACAGTCAGTGAATTATTTCCCTTTTCATTCCACAGTAAACTCACACAGAAAAAAAGAAAACTCATAAAAAATGGGCCGTGGTCACTGCCAGCAGTGCTCTGGCCGCTCACTTAGGGCGGGGACGGGATATTTGAAGCACGTTGCCAACTCGAGAGCGGTCTCGCTGTGTCAAACAATAATGACTTGAGCTTTGCCAGAGACCGATCGTATGATACGATCTAAAGTTCTCAGAGTAAACAACTTTTTGGTGGTTTGCTGGTTTAAAAATAAATACATAACAAGACAGAAGGGACAATTTCCAGTTCAGCTTGTAGCAGCAGCAGAAAGGTTCACAGGAAAGCCAAATATTACCATAAATCACCACAGATTGTCTGCAGAGATAATGAAATAATTTTAAAACAATCAAACTTTTACAATAGCAAATCAGTTCCCTCTTTAACTAGACAAGAATCTGTGCCCATCTATTCAAAGAGAGGAAATAACACTTTAAAAAAAAAAATAGCATATCTGGAGTGTTTCAACTCCAACTAAAGCTGATAAATTCTGCCGATTCCCAGATTTACAGTCATGATTTTGAACTCTACCAGAGTAGCACAGTTCAAAGTAAATCTTACACTGGTGCAGCCCCTCAGTTTATTCTCTGTTTGAAATGAACCACGTTAGCTTCCTTCGAGCCACCTTTCTTCTTATTGGTTGCCCCTCATAAACAGATGGTTTAACCAGCAGGTAAGTGAAACACTGGAAGAGCCCGTGTATGACAGAAGATGAGGAGGAGCAGGAGGAGAAGGGCTCCCCTTTGAGGTTGTTGAAAGCATCTTAACAGTCTGACAGTATCTTAGAGATTGTGACTCACAGTTTACACCGTTTGGATTTACCGTCACAGGATTGTGTGGTCCAGACCAGCAGGCCCTTTAATCCAAAAATCGTTTCTTTCTTTTAAATTAACATAAGATCCATTTTCCAACCAGTCACCAGAATAATGCTTCCCAGCACAGAAAGATTCCTTTAAAAAGAGGCAAAACAAATAATAGACCCATAACTGTGACCTCTCTGCTGAACAATAACAGCAGCTGTCTTTTAGAAATCAAATTTATCATCATTTCCTTCATGAAAATAAATCATCTGGTTTTGCGTTTATTTCAGAAAGTTGTGAAGTGTCATTTTGAGACAGGCACAGTCCCACGTTTCTGCACATCCCGTCTCCCTGTGACTATGCTGGTGAGCCGCGTGCAGATGGAGTGATGAAATTTCTCATCATCCTCGTTTAGTTGCGCATGTAGAGCCGTACGAGGCCGGCCTTGTGCAGCTGCTGCCACAGATTCATCTCCATACGCAGGTCGTGGTTGGCGAAGAAGCCCACAGGGTGATAGTTTTTGTCGTAATAGTGGTCTGAGTATTTCTTGTAGTCTGGGGTCATGAAGCCGTACGCACTTACCTATAATCAAAAGACAGACAGATTAGGAATCTGGTGACACGTAAACTGCAAAATGCCAGTTTTGGTTCAATTTGACCCACTTGGCTCATTTTCATTTCCTCAGGCTGGAAAACGGGTTTAACATGTGCAATTAACCGGATACGGAATCTGGACACGATGTATAAGGCTCGCTGCCACCACAGTAAAGATCAAAAGCATAACTCTGGAGGCTTTTTGACACACAGCAATTTAACAGAAATGCAGCACATGCTTCTGCAGCTCAGCTGCTCAAAGTCAAAACATTCTCACGCTATCGGGCAAGTACGGCCTTGTCTCCTGACAAGTAAACAACAGACTGCTGGAAATGTACCTGATCGCAGGTGTGCAGCGCCGCCAGCAGCATCGTGGCACCGGTTGATGGACGGTAGATGTCTTTGAATCTGGTTTTCAGAGTGCTGGATCTGAGGAATCTGAAACAAAAAGATCACAAAACATGAATAACCTGCGCTGTGAGCCTTTCAGGAACTGAAGCTTGAAGTTTCTCACACACACACACACAGTGACCTCTGTGGCCCAGTGTGGCTGCGTGGGGATCTTCCCTCAGCAGCTCTCTCTGGTTTCAGTCGCTGCTTCTCCTTTAATCCCACTTACAGCTTTTGAAACACGAGCTCTGCTTTCACGAGTGAGAATTTGCTCACCTGTTTCTGAGGTAACGGATGAAATCAGGATGGTACATCTTCAACTTCTCTGCTGACACGCCCTCACCAAAGTACTTCACTGGACTGAAGGAAATACGGCATTACTATAAAAACACCACAACTGCTGGAGAGCACGAGTATTAACATTCAAAGAACTGATCACTGATGAGCAGTGATGCTTCTGACATATTTGATCTTGTGACATTATAAACAAATACAGACTAGTCAGGTTTAATCTGCTGGATTGTCCGCAGGAAATATCATCTGCTTCATCTCAGCAATCATATTTCCAAAAAGTAAGACTCCTTTTTTGCACCTCTGCACAAACATAGCTGGCTGTGCAAGTCTTGGGTTGCAGACATACAGGCAAAAAACAAGTTTGTACAATTTAAATGAGCTTGAAAGTCAATATTTGTTATGACCACACTTATTCTTCAACACAGTCTGAGCTCTGCGATTCAGCTTTCTTTCTTTCAGTAGTCTTTAGAAATACTTCTCCAGGCTTCTTGACGAACATTCAAAGCTCTTCTTTGGATGTTTTCTGCCTTTTGCTCTGCTCTCTGGTGAGATGACTGTTCCTCTGAACAAGGTCAGGTACAACAATTGGACTGAAAATGAGTGAAAAAGCAGCTTGTGTCCAAAGAAAATCTTTGATAAAACTTCATAAAGTGTGGAGAACTCCTGCTAGTGGTAGTGGACCAACCCAGAGGACGCTTCCACTCCTTGGGCCTTGATGCTGATAATAATCAAATTAAAAACGGGTAACGCAGAAGAAAACAGGACTGAAGCTGCAGTCTGTAAAGTGTCGCTTACTTTTTGCCCTTCTCACGCCCCCTGTCCACCAGGGTGTGCGTCGCCGCCGCTTTCATCAGCAGGTAATCTCGGTCGTGATCCGGCAGGAAAATGTACCGCGTTTCCTGTTTGAGAGGAGGGAGCAGCCGAGCATGACAAGACCGTTTTAACGTCGTCACTTAATAAAGACAGATGTTTATTTCCGTCCTCACCTTAGACACGGGGGGTCGTCTGTACCCGACACCTGCGTAGCTCAACATGGAATTCATCAGCGTGTTTGTGGAGAACGTGTAGTGGGTGGTCCGAGACCCTACGTCCTCCTCAAAGCCCTTAATGATTGCCCCGTTGGTCCTGAAGACCACAACAATCCAGAGACACATAATAAATAGAATCAGCATTATTTTTCTTATATTTTCATTATTAATGAAAGGAAGCAGGAAGGAAGGCGTCAGAACCGACCTGAAGACATAGTGATGGCTGTCGATCTCCTTCCCTTTCTGGGAGTTCTTCAGTATCCCTCCATTCCCCACCACTGCACAGCGACTGCACGCCGACTTATTGCCAGGAGCCTTCCAGTTGTCCAACATCTGCCAGTTAGCAGGTGAGTTGAGGACAGAGAGTGTTTCCACCAGTGCTGTTGGCACAAAAGAACTGATTAAATCTAAGATTTGTTTAATATAGGCGTCATGGTGGCACGGTGGTTAGCACTGTTGCCGCACAGCAAGAAGGTCCTGAGTTCAATTCCACCATCAGGCCGGGGTCTTTCTGTGTGGAGTTTGCATGTTCTCCCCGTGTTTGCGTGGGTTCCCTCCGGGTACTCCGGCTTCCTCCCACAGTTTGTGGGGATAGGTTAATTGATTAATCCAAATTGCCACTAGGTGTGAATGTGAGTGCGAATGGTTGTCTGTCCCGGTGTGTTGGCCCTGTGACAGACGGGTGACCTGTCCAAGGTGTACCCCGCTTCTCGCCTTATGACAGCTGGGATAGGCTCCAGCGCCCCCCGCGATCCTGAAAAGGAGAAGCGGATGGATGGATTGTCCTGAAAGAACAGGGGAAAAAAAATCCCAGAGGCTCCATGTGGGCACACAGACAGGAAGCTGCTTTTATCTCTATGATAAACATCTGTGCTGTGATGAGACCAGCATGTCCTCAATGAAATTATCCAGAAGTACTTGTAGTCCTACGTCTGGCTCTTATAAGACAGAGTTAGAGGAGGATATTTTCCTGCCAGAGAGTTATTGTGGATTATTCAGCCTGAGCAATTGTTTAATGTATTGATGTACATTTATGGTGTATTACTGTATTTACATTTTCAGTTTTGTGGGTTTTTTTGTCTGTTTTATATAATAAATAACTCTAAGACACTCCTTTTTCTAAATAAAATGTAAATGCTTTTATTTTCAGGACCATGTCAATGTATGTTTAAATAAAACAAACAAAAACGCCAGGACACATACGCACCTCATTTTGAACTGGGGCAAATCCAGCTTTATATTAAAAAATAATAATACAATTAGTTGAATTTTGACCAATTTTCCTTGTTTTCCCATTATGTGCTGTTAGAACGGTGGATGTTACAAAGCTACAAATGATGATGTCAGTCTAAGTGAGGCAAAAGCTCAGGTTTGATCTAAGCAGTCGGATCCTGACAGTTTTATTAAAATTCTTTGATGTCACAGTGTGGATGTGTTTATATGGAACTGGGTGGGTGGTGTGTGGGTGCACCAAGGCCCAGCATAAGATAAACAAGATTATTTTGAATCATGGACTCATGCAAAGCTGCTTTAATAAAGTCTAAGAATAGAAATCTGAACACAGAGGTGAGGATAAAAAAAAGACTGATTTGGTTGGGTAGAGAAAAATTGCAGAGTTGTGATGGCTGCATTCCATCATGAACGTTAAACTAAAACTAAAATAAGTTTCGCAAGAAACTGGAGAGTTCAAAAGGAGCAATCAATGAAAGGAAAATTTTTTAGATAAAATCAAAATCTCACTGTCGTAATCGATCCCTCCCCAGCCATGTGCTCCAGGATAATGGCTCAGACGCCGGTGCTGTTCGGGTGTCACGTGTTTGGCCCACTGCAAAACTGGAATACTTTCCAGAAATCGCTCTCCAAATTCAGTTTTCCCCACCCGACTTCGGATGCTGTCCGGACAGCCCTGTGTGGAGCAGACACCAACATAACTGTTATCAGACCTCATGCAGACGCTCCTACCTCCAGACCTAAATGCAGTTACTGCACGTCCCTCACGATCATTACGAAGCCAACATCATTACTTTCACTCAGCAGGAAGTTCACCCTCAATATTGACCTCCTAATAAGAGTCTCACTGGGCGCAATTGCCTGGTAATTACAGAGTGGAGAGAGAACAGGGCTACGACAGGACAGATGCTGGAGGTTTCATCCAGCATGAGGCAAGAAGTAACACACAGAGGCAGACATTGCTGATGAAAAAACAAAAACCTTACAAGTATATACACATGTAGACAAGGAAGTAGATGTTAGTGGAGGAGAAATATTCTGTTTGAGTGAAATACAAGAGTGGAAATAACAGATAAGAAAATACATGCAGATGTTATCAGAGAAGAAAATCTACCCACTGAAATTGAGCGGATGATAGTCCGGGAAACTAAGAGCTTTAAAAGTGCCTCATACTGCACGCTGCAGCCAATCATGCACAGTCACATCGCTCTTTATTCATATACTTCAACACACATGCTCGCGTGCACAAGCTTTTCACTCTTTGTTCAGTAACTTGCTGATCTAACCGATCTGCGCTTCGGTTAGTGGATGATAAAGGTGTATCGCCTGAGCAACAGACGCCTGCTTTCTTATCAATTCAGGCATCTTAATAAACTCACTACATATCAGCTTGGCTGCTGGGTAACCCTCAAGCAACAGACGCTATTTTAGAGACCAAAATGACAGCGTAGGGTCGTCTATATAGCTACAGATATCTATATCACAATAACAGTAGCCTCAAAGGAAAAATGAAGCAACCCGAGTCGGATCGAAAGCATTAATTTCAACAGATAAAAACCAAAGAAAAAAAATAAAACATTCAACACCAAAATGCACCGTTAATAAGAAAACATGACTGAATAAGTTTCGCAATTTAAGAAAGGCAGTGATGATCTAAGTTCTCTGGAACATGGCAGTAAACTGTACCAGAAACAACAGCTACATGCTAATAAATAATAATAATAATAATAATAATAAGTCTGTGAAGGTTCTCAGTCATCCAGGTCATCGTAGTCAAAGGATAATAATAATAATAATAATAATAATAATAATAATAATAAATTGGGTTTATATAGCGCTTTTCTAGGCACCCAAAGCGCTTTACAATTCCACTATTCATTTACTCTCACATTCACACACTGGTGGAGGCAGCTACAGGTGTAGCCAAAGCTGCTCTGGGGCAGACTGACAGAAGCCAGGCTGCCATCGGCCCCATCAGTAGGCGGTAGGTGAAGTGTCTTGCCCAGGACAGACAGAGCAGAGAGAGCTGGGGGATCGAACCGGCAACCTTCCAGTTACAGATGAGCTTCCCAACCCCCTGAACCACAGTCACATCCTAGTGCATCAGTAGCACTACCATCAGTAGCATGGTAGTGCTACCACCAGAGCTCTTTATGTCAGGCACACCTCCTGTGCTGTAACATTTTTAAGTTAAAGCCAATAATATCCAACCTTTACCTCTAAAATGAATGCAGTGGCATAAAAATAAAGAAATGCATCAACTAGTTTATCTCGATCGCGTCTTCTCTCCTTGGCTGTCTCTGCAGTCCGTTTATGTTAGTCATGTTATTTATGGCCTGAAACTTGCTGTTCAGTATTTAGATTCTCAACAATAACAGCAGCTTTGTTTTGTATTCTTGCTTCTGGTATAAGTGGCTCCTTTGTTTTCATTTTTCCTCTGGGGTAGTACACCATGGTTTTAGTCTTTCTTGTTCCGTCTTTGTTAAATTTATCATTAACTATAATGTCTGCACAGATCATCATTTATGGTAAATGGCCTGCATTTGTATAGCACTTTACTTAGTCCCAAAGGACCCCAAAGCGCTTCACACATTCAGTCATTCACACACTGGTGATGGCAGCTACATTGTAGCCACAGCTGCCCTGGGGCGCACTGACAGAGGCGATTTATGATATGGCCTCATCATTAAAGTCTTACAAAAACATGCAATGTCATCCATAACAGTCAGAGTTGATAATTAATCTGTTTTACACTCCTCCATCCTCATGACACCATGAGTTTGTGCTCCTAGTGAGGAAATGTGGAAGTCAGGCTCCATAAAAACAAACAAACAAAGAAAAAACAAAACAAACAAAAACACATGAAACATATTACTAAACATTTACTGGAAAAAAACAGATCCACCCAGTAACCATGGCAGCCGCCCTATGACATCTCAGCCCCGAATAAAAGCAGATGTGTGACAGTGCTGCAGGGATGATAAACCAAGTCATGTGATGGGCACCGCTGGTTTACTGGGTTCAAATTACAACTTTTATTACCCGCTGGCTTTTTTCTCACCACTTCAGTCAGTCACCGTAACGATGATGTTTACCTTTATTACTTGTGTGGATTTGTGAATATGAAGGTCTGATATATTCTCTGTTGCCAAGGAGCTTAATTGCTGTTTATTTAAAACATGAATGAGCCACAGTATCAGAATACTTTATTAATCCCAAAGGAAATCATGGTTCGTGTTGTTTTTGGATTGATCCCCAGCTCCAACTGTCTACGTGACAAAATATCCTTGAGCCAGATCGTGAGTCTTGAGCTTCACCTTGCACATCCACAGATAAAAGTGCTGTATAAGTGGGTGAAAGTGCTTCGAGTGTTAAGCTGAGTAGGAAGTACCAGCACGTTTACCATTCACTGGAAACAACATGACACTCATTTGGTAGAGTATGCGCTTCTTTTTGTGGCCAAATTGCATACTGTCCACGTCAACTGAACATGAGAAAATATTTTTGTGTATCAGTGCATGCGGTTTCACTTCCTGTCATTCTGAGGTCTTTGATTGTGCTGTTCTGCATGTTGTCCAGTTCTTTTGAGTGTTTTTGCAGGGCTACATGCAGGACCCACGCAAACATTACATCCTGTACAACATGCACAACAGCACAGTAAGGAGAGAAGAAGCACAACAAGAAACAAATGTAGAGGAAGTTGTACAAATCGAGACATCGACACAGTCGTCTCGATTTGTCACATTACAGTCAGAGGACAAACTGCACAGACATATATGTCACATGTCACAGGGAAAACAGCCCGTGAAATATAGACAGATTAGATTTCAGATTCCTGGATTAAAAACAGCAAACATTTCTTTGACAGCTGCTGAAATCAGATAAACGTTTTGCTCTCAGGGGGTTTCATTTTCAGCAGCAGATGAAATCAAAGCCAGCAGACTAAGCACAGTTAAGGAGAACTCACCGTCTGCGGAGGGACGTCTTCGCTCATGTACGAGTCTCCTATGAAGGGAGGGTCCGTAGGTTTGGCTGGCCGAGCAGGCTTCACTGTAGGCCGTTTGGTATCGACCCTGGTTTTATTATTGGCATCATCAGATCTGGACTTGGATGTCTCCTTATCCAGGTCTTGCTTTTGCACTTTGTGATGCTTTAGGAACAAATTCCCTACATCCCTGTCTGGATGCGAGCTGGGCACTGGGGGCAGGAAGGTCAAGTGGGTATTGTTGCTCGGCCCGTTGAGAGGCTCCTCGGATGAGATGCTGCAGGAGACAGAAGAGTTACCGACACATCATATGTAACACATACCAAGCAAGAGTCAAAGAACAGCTCCACATTATTTTCAACTTCCAACTAATGTGCCTATTGTGGCTTAAGAGAGCGCAGCCCAGAATAAAATAGGAAAATCAAAAATTCAAATACATGAGCTATGAAATTAAGTGGTTTGAGGGTTATCTTATGACACAAGCTGCTCCTATGTGTGCATTTTAAATAGTTTTCTTTGAAAATGTCATGAGCATAGATAAAGGGAAATAGTTCGTGCATGAGCATGTTTTTTTCCATTTAATGCACAAAACGGGAAGTCGCATGTTTGAGTGCTCGGAATGATTTTTTTTTTTTTTTTTTTCATATTTAAGATAATCCTGGAAGTGAAACCAAAGCAAAAACGCCCACATCAACAAAAACAACTAAAATAATCCACACAATAAAAAGTTGACGCCTACATGAGGACAAAGTCCCAGCTTTTGTTGTTCATGTCTTTTCAGAGCATTTGTGCTTTCCTCACTCGGTTGGTGAAGGTTTCCCACACGCAAATGTTTCTTTTACGTGTCATGTTTCAAAAGAGAACTAATCCAAAGTCTGAAATCCAAATCCAAACTAATCCACACTTAGGCAGGTGGAAAGAGCCAGCAGAGATTTCAATAATAAAAAATGATATTTTTACTCTGTTAATTATTGAGTATTGATTTCAGGGTTTTTCCCACCTTACTCTTGATCAATATTATTTTTGGCAAGTAACTGGTAACATAAATGAAACAACAAACCAAAGTCATGAGATGTAAAAGTCTCACTGCTCACCGTAAAACTGCTTTTTTCTCCCCGTAAAATCCTGTGTGCTACAGTGTGACGTTGCGATAACTGTGGTATAATTATTTCATGAGCCTGGTGGTTGCTCTGTGTTTTACACGTTTCTGTTAAAGAAAATATCCTCTCATATATCAATACTTTATTCTCTCTGAGCATCAAGCATTAGCTGATTATTTGAACTATCGGGAAGCCTCTGGACGTCTTTATCAAGTGTTTCAGAGTCAAAGCTCAGATCCTGACATACTCAGTTGGTGAATCTCGTACAGGGCGATCCGGTTACTCCATTTTAGTCCAATTTTCCCGGCTGAGCTTGCAAGCTGCTTGGCAACCACCTCCTCCACCCCTGCGCCTCACTAACTGCCACATTACAGTCAGAGGACAAACTGCAAACTCCTCCAACAGAATAAAGTTAATAAAAGACTGGGAGAGTTCCACCCGGATAGGTTGGCTTAACTCATCGTTCTAATCAATTGTGTTTACACAGCGTGCACAGACACCACAGCTGCTGGGGTATTGTTTGGACTCAGTACATATTTAATTTGATCTTTTATGCTTTCCTGTTCTGTGCCGGTGTCACCGAGCCATACTGCCAAATATAAACGACTGCATTTGGAAGGAGCAGTCATCTTTTAACTTCAAAAAAAACAAAACAAAAAAAAAGACTGTAAAGCAGTCGTCACTCATCACAGGGAGTCTCAAAGGTGGGAATTGGGGCCTTTTACTTCTCTGTGCACAGGGCCCCTTTGTGCCTTAATCCATTTGTGCATCTTATGGGGATTTCAGTTTTCTGCTCTTTGACCATTTCACGTTTCTACATGAGGCTTTAACACCAATGGCTGTAAAATATCTTTTGCTTCAGCGTCTAAATTCATGATCTTAACCTCCAGTTCCAGACTAAAGCTGCAGGCGAGTGAAGAGGACATTCACATTATGATTCTTACAAAAGGCGTTCAGATTTTTTTTAAATCAGAGCCCTCTGAGCTCAAAAAGCCCACACTCACTCCCGAGTGTCTCAAACAGCCCCCTTAGAAAGTAGCCATCTTTTCTCCACCCCTCGATTTAATGCATCTAATGTGGACCCGTCGGCTTTTTAAACCTGGACCGCTGCCCGTCGCTACAAAGCTTACATTTCACATACGTGTGTGAGAGAGACCACCTCCAGTGAAATAACTCCAGGGGATTTTTTTCATTAGTGTGGCCGGAGCGCTGTGTGGCTCCTTTGTTGAAACCACAATGATACAAGTGGAAGGGAGGGGGATAAGTGCCGGTTACAGAAAACCCCTCGTACCACTTATGATCTCAGAGTTTAACCCTTCACACCAGTTTCACTGCCTCGTCTGATACAGCTCTGCATGTGAACTGTTGTCTGAACCTGACAGTGTTCAGGGAGGGAAAGCCGCCTTTTCTTCAGTTTTTCCCCCTTTTACAAGGAGGTCACTGTACCAAATTCTTAGGCAGTGTCAATTTCAGGATGCTAAATGCAAGAGCAGCTGAGGCTTAAAAATGTTGTTTAGCTGGAAAATACGATCCAGACGACTGATTCAAGAGGTATGTAGCACCATATTTTAGTGCACAATATGGATAAATACCTGATTTTCACATAAAGGTGAATTAACTGGTCATGTTTAGTTTCTTTTCAGGTGTTAAAGTCCCCTTTTGTCCAATCGTGTGCATGTCCGGGGCAGATGAGAGCGGATAAGGCAATCCTGTTTAATAACTCACTCGCGTCATCACCAGAGTTTCCTGTTTCTAACACTAGGATTAAATAGCTGAAATGAAACTGAAGATTTATGCTTATTCAAAAAGATAAAAATCCATAAATTTAGTTAAGATTGGAAAGCATCAGTTTTTATTTCCACACGTCCAGTTTTGACCGGGAAAAGAACGTCGTCATGCACGCAAAATATTTTTAAAGATAAAGAACTTTAAAACATCATTAGCAGCAACAACATCTGTAACTCTAAAGACTTGCATTTAAAGAAAAAAGATCATACGATATTTGAATGGGGCAGATGTTGTGGGAATCACTGTTGTAATGCTCCTCGTGCCGGTAGTAACACCAGTGTATCAAAACACTGGGACATGGGAGTAAACCTGGGATGTGTCTGTGCTTGCTGCTTAATGTTTAACTTCTTAATACCCTTCTTGGACCTTGAATGAGAAGCTTTTTCTCTAACAATACAGACATGTCTCAGTCTCTAGATTTCTATTTGTATTCTTCTTAATGCAAATATTAAAAAGACAAGTTTTCAGGGCTTCCACGTACCCAGGATATCCAGTGACAAACATCCTGGCATCCACTGACCCTTGTTTAAGAGTGACGAAGAATTTGTAAAACTAATAAACAGCAATAAAAATTTGTTTTTAGAGTTATCTATTACTTTGAGATTATATGAGTATCATAAATGTCTTCTTGCACTTTTTTATGGCCTTTTTGCTGTGAGTGTTTCTCCTGTTGTTAACAGTAGTTTTGTGACAACAGTTTGATAAGGGCCACGCCCAGAAGAAGCTCAAAGACCCTGATGAAGTCCAAAGGTTGGTTCCTTTCTGCTACTCGTACTCAGCAGCATTAAATGTGTTACATATTTAACTGCCCTGCAAGCATTTCTGATGCGTCCTCATAACAGTTGGTGTACTAAAGATTTTATCACTGGTCATCATGGTCATCATGTGCATCACTTTATGGCCGTGTTCTCTGAATGGTTTACAGATGCAGGGGAAAAGTTTGGTTTTTAAAATGTGCTGCACCTTTACCCTGGAATAAAGTACGAGGGGATCTGAAACTGAGCCCAACTCTTTGTTAATGTTTTTTGCTTTCAAATGTCTTGGATATTTTTTGAGAATTCAGGGCCGGTGATGTAAACGAAAGCCTTGGTTAAGTCCAGTCAGAACATCGTGACGTGTAATGCGGCGAGGCTTCTCGGCTTTCTGCGTTGCTTTTAATTCTTCAGCATCATCATGACTGAACGAACGCACAATATTGTCATGATTTTATCTCACGTCCTTTCTTGCGCCCGCATGGTTCGAGACATGAGAATCAGGTTTAACGAATTAAGGATTCAGTCCAATATCAGGCTGCTTTCATAGCTTTTATTTGGGAGAATCAACCTGCTTGAATATGCGAGCATTGCCTTCGGTTTCTGTACTTTAACTGCTCACATGTGTCAAATTTCCATCACGTACATCCCAAACGTGTCATCGGTCCCCCATTTCCCTTCTGAGAGCATCGAACGTGTTTGGATGTCATGCTTTAAATCTCCATACTGACCAAAATAACTCCGTTTTTAACCATAACTGAGCAGACCAATATTTATACTCATTCATATCTTGGAGTTTATATAAACTCATTGGTGTCTTTCTTCATCAGAGGTATTGTTGCCTTGCTGATTATAGCATTTTCTTTTAGAGAAAGTGTCAGGTGCACATGTTATAAATATTGTGTTGCCTTCCTGAAATCCACACCTGGCAGTTAGTTCCTTGTTCAAGTCATCAGGTGACACTCAGTAACTTTTCCCTCTCAGGCCTGAGCTGCAACTTTTAGTTTTGTCCCCCCTTTATGCTGATCTTCAGCAGGTGAAACACGATAAGCTGGATCTAACTGTACTCCTGTGTGCCCCCAAAAGTGTAAAGATGATGCACAAAAATGTCTACAAGTCAAAGAAGATTCATATCTATCTTATCATATCTGAGATTCAAAGTAAAAGTCTGAACTCACCCGCTCGCCCTCTGTATGAAGTCGTAGAGAGGCACCAGAGGCCTCTCCAGGGTCAAAGCCAGAATGTAGACAATAAGGACGCACGAGACCGTGAGCATGGCAAAAAGCAGCCTCCTGTGCAGCCCCATCCCAATCATGGTGCTTGTGACTCTGGCCGGCAGGCTGCGTCTCCTCGCCCTGCCCTCCACTCAGCTCCCAGGAACATGAGGAGCAAGAGGATGTGAACGCTGTGCCACTCTACAGGGCAGCTACGAGTGTCGACGGCGGGGGATTTACCCACGACAGGATCTGGGCTCTCCTCTGAGCTTCTCTCAACACAGCTGCAGCGAGAGGCAGACAGAAAGAGAGAGTTGGAACGAGGGCAAAGACTCAGGAGGGGAAACTTTATCTTTCAGCGTCAGAGTGCCAAATAATCCCTTTTTAATGAAGTCTTTGCCTTCATGCCCCTGAACACAAAGCTCAGGGTCACAATCTTCATCTCCTTTTACATCCTGCTCTTGCTTATCTACTTTCTGCTCTTACAGTCTTCTTACAGGCGAGAGAGGAAACAGAGGAAACACTACAGCTTCACACATTAAAAATATGCTGAGCAAAGTTTAAAAGGAAAAATAAAGAGGCTGGGAGTGGAGGGGATGACGATAGCTTCAGCTGAAAAATACAGGAAGCCAGAAATGTTATCTTACAGGAAACTGACGTCTTTAGTGCTTTAGTCAACTCAACATGTTTCTCCAACTCTTAGAAGAAGTTGCATTAGCACCGAGCGGTGAGCTGCACCCCTCTGTAATAAACTCAGTCTGCGCACTAAGCGTCTCTCAAGTCCAGAAACTGATAAATACGTCCACTGGTGGGTGGGTGGGTGTGTGTGTGTGTGTGTGTGTGTGTGTGTGTGTAAGAGAGAGAGAGAGAGACAGAGGTTCCTAGGCATGTGGGAGTGCTGGCTGAGTCTCTAAATGGGGAATGGAAAGAATGTGATAAACTCCAGCATCTCTGATAGCAGTTATAACAGAGCGAATGAGCACTTCCACACCCCAGAAACTGGAGGTTTTACACAGTAAAACATCGCAAAAGTCATCCAGTAATTCATAACATGTCTGACAGAGACTTAGAGCAAAATATCAAAGAGGAAACAAAAAGCATCAGCCTGTGACAAATCATGACTCAATCTGCCTTCCTTTAATGAGAGGACTCTGAGAAACAGAAACCTCTTCAAAAAAACCTCTGAATGCTTTTGAGAAATGAAGAACATGAAGCTTCACTCACCAGCAGCTGAGCTCCTGTTTCCTTTGCTCTAAGTATTTCCTTTCTGCTGCTCACAGTGGAGACATATTCCTCTAACTTAGCTCTCTATTGCTCATCTACTGTGAAGCGGTTGTGCTGCCTGCCTTGCACTGTATGGGCGGGACCATTGTGAAATGAGCAACAGCTGCTGGCAATTGGTCAACCCCCTGAACTCCAGAGCACGAGAGGAGGGGAGGGAACCCACTGCAGGCAGCGATAAAGTTAGTGAGACATGAGCAGGCAGAAACACTCAGAGGAAAACAGATCAGCTTGTCTACACTGACAAAAGCCCTGATGCACGAGCTCTCATGCAGCGTGTCTTAACATTTGATTCCTGTGGTTGGCATGGTGCAGAATGTGGTGTCCAACATGTGTCACGAGTTAGACGCTCTGTGTGTGTGTTACATGTACCTGCACAGAAGTGAGAAAAGCCCCATTTGAGTCACATCTATTTCTCTGCTTGGATCTCTTGCAGTGAAGAAAATCTCACGAGGCTCCTCATCCACGTGTATTTAGGATATTTGAAGTGCAACCATAATGAATCAGACTGCCTGACACAGCCTGTGTGACTTTGTTGCTCGTTTGTAGTTCAACTTACTCCAGTTCCTCTGACCTCTCCATCTTCATGTTGAGTTTATCTTCGTGGAGTTCCTTCCTGTCACTTCCTTTCTCATGTCATCTGTCTTGTTTCCCGGCCTGCTCTTGTCTGTTTTTTCCTTTTTCTCCAGTATCTTCTTGTTTTCCTAGTTTTGTACCTTTCGTGAATCAGTTTTTTTTAAAATAAAGCTCGCTTTTTGTTTTGCACTCTACAACCCAAATCGCCTCTCACACGCACTCGGGCATGGATGTGAGTTAGTATATATCAGTTGTATTTTGGATTACCTTTTTTCTTTTTTACTCAGAAGCATTATTTTAAAGCTCTAGTTACTAGAATACTAATATCTGATGGTTTATTATTATAGATAAAGCTATCAAGGATTATATAATGTTATGGGCTGGGTCTGTCACCCAGCATTTTGAGTTCATGATATATTGTGTATTTCTTTTGTTAGTATGGAGAAATGTTAGGTTCTTGTTTTGTATTATTAGTTAGAACTTGAGGCTTCATGTTTTGTCATTTATGGTTTGGGTTAAGCTCATCTGGCTCCTGTAAAACCCCCGAGTGGCTCAGCCTTAGTTTTGTTATTGATCCCCGCATTTCCCCTTTTCCCTGGGCTTTGGTCTCACCTGCCCTTTGTGTTTCATGTCTCATGTGTGAAGCCCATGTTGTTTGGTCTGCCTCATCATGTTTCCTGTGTTATGTTGTAAGAGTCCAGTATGTTCTTTGTTCATTGTATTTAGGTTCCCTTCCCTTGCCTTGTTATTAGGTTCATGTGTGTCAGTGGTGTTCCCGTGTGTTAATGTTCCCATTGTTGTTTATTGTGTCATGTTTTTCTGTTTATTTTGAAAGTCCAGTTTTCATGTCATTGTTTGAGTTTACATTTCCTGTGCATCATTATGTTCATCCTTGTCAGCTGTTTCCTCGTGTGTCTCGACTTCCCTGATCACCTCATGTGTGTATTTAAGTCCTCTGTTTTCTATGTTTGGTTGTCAGGTCGTCTGTTTGCGTCTCCATAGTGTTTTGTCATAGTTTACTCAGTGTTCATAGTTTGTCGTAGTATTTTCACTGAGTTTCTTAGTCCTTTAGTTTTCCGAGTGTTCACAGTTTTCTTAGTTTTCATAGCTTCATGCTTTTTCATGTGCCAACATCCAAATAAAGGATCGTCTTCTGTTCAGCCAGCAACTCCGCCTTTCAGTGTCTGCTTCTGGGTCCTGTAAACTAAACTTATCGGCGCACCCCGCCGGGACATATAAGTCATTAAAACAATCTAGAGAAGCCACATTTAAGTGATATGCATGTATATGGTTCTGCATGAGTACTCTTACTTTTGCTAAAAGCTAAAACGTTTGCCCTACTTAAATATGGAAAATCCCACCCACTCCCTCCTCCTCCTCAATCAAAATATGAGATGGGTGGAAATAAGCAAGAAGCTCCACCTTTAAGCTGACAATATGAAACTAAATACAATAAGTGAAAAAACAACTCTGCACTTTACTACACATTTCAGTCAGGCCTCTGGCAGCACAGCCGCTGTGGTCTGCTGACCATCATCACCTGACACACACTTATTCTCTGAGAGGATTAATTGTTATTAGTTATTGCATAACTGTACTAATGAAATAGTGGAATATTTCTCTTCACATGTTAACAGAATCTCAGCCAGCATAAATCCGCAGGACGTCGGCTGTAATGGGACTGCAAAGGGCCTGGACTGGATTGGCTTAAACCAGGGGAAGAACAAAACTTTATCAAATGCACATCTGAAAACGCCAAGACCTTCTTTAGCGTTGCCTCAGAGTGTGGGAGGGTGAGAGCTGGGCGTATCAGTTCAGTCACTTGCACATACGTCCTTGTTTGATTCGATATCACAGCTGCAGACACTTCTGGGCAGATAATGGGCATTCCTGACCGATAGCCTCAGTCTATTTGACTGAAGCAGGGGCTAAAATTGCTACAGCGGTTTTAAAGCAGAAACATAAGTGTAAGCGATGTGGCACTGAAAGAACACTGTAACAATAAGGTTTTAAAGTGTTCACACTTGAGTTACATAATGCTTTGTGTTTCAGAGTACTTCCAGAGTAATTTTGTTTGTTCCAGTTTAGTTTCTGCTTAAAAATGTTTCTTTACACTTGATTTTTTTCTCCTTTCTACTTAAAATGACAGCTCTGGTGTTAGATTATTATTATTATTAGTATCAGGGTCAGAATATAAGAAGTATAGAGCAAGCATTACAATCCAAACACTTTCAGTAAACTCCTCAGTTTAAACTACAACAACTATTTTTATTTTTGTCAAAATGTAATCTTAGTTACATTTTATGTAACTAAAATTAAGCCAAGCTAAGTGAGAAACAACAGTCAACATGCTTCTCACAGTTTGAGTTGAGCTGGTTGGAGCAGTGCATGCAGTGTTCCAGCTGAAACGACTGAAAGATTTCCCAGTTGGTTTTTAACGAGAGGGAATGGGAGGGGTGGTAACAGCTGGAATACTGGTCTACAGATATTTCAAGAATTAAATTCTGTAATTAAACGTTTAGAAAGCGTCAATAAATCATTTCAGGCTCCAAACCGACAGCAATTTAACCTCATTATGTGGACTCCATCGTGTCTGACACTGAAGGCTTCTTCGTCTCCTGCTCATGAGTTATGGAGAGCGAGGGACGACGGGAGGGCGGAGGACAGAAACAAGTAAACATTTGTCTTTTTTCCTACAGCGAGAAGAAACGAGGAACACGGCGTGTTTTCCAAACATTCTTTGCCTTTTATTCTCTTCACAGTTTTTCAAAGAATCACAATGAATAATCATAAAAAACAGACTAAAACAAAATGAACTAGTGCATTCAAGAGCTATAGATGTAATGCTGAGCAGGAGAGAGCAGGAATGCTTCGTATAATGTTGCAGTGAATGTGTGCGTGTGGAGGTCAATGCAGGTCACAATGGGGAGGAGAGGAAGCACACACAAACACATGCAAACACACAAAAGAAAGGCTCACTGGCACTTGTAGGACGGGCATGCGTGAGGAATGCCAACTCACATCGCCGCCCCTGTCGTGTCCGAGCCCAGATGCCCCCCGCCTGCTGTGCCGACGGCCACAGTGGCGGCATCAGCTTCGAGGCCTCCACGCTGACTCACAGTGAAACTCGGGGAGCGTGTGACACATCAGTCACCCATGTGGGATTTTTTTTAATTATTATTATTATTATTATTATCTGTGCTAAGCAGAGAGGGTTAACATTGATTCAGGTTTAATGGTTAACTATGTGGCCAAACTAACCCGACTTTAAACCAGCAGGGTCCCGGTGGATTACGTTTCACACATTGGGGCTTGGACGACTTGGAGGTCAGAAAAAACCTGACATACTGTATTTAGATCGACTAAAAATGGAGCGGTTAAGGTCTCACCGTCACACTTAGTAACCGTGTAAATGTTCCTCACAGAAGGAATAAAATACAATTTCGTCTTGAGAAGGTTTGAGAAAAGCTTCCTTCACAACCTTGACCTTTCTGTGGACATATTACACCACGAAGGTCGTGTACGAGTCCTAAAATAAATAAAGCAAGATGAAAGAATAAATATTTTCTCATCTGGGGTCTAATTTTGAGACTGCCGGGGCTTTTGCAGTCACATCATGCTGTACCTAAATAACAGGCCTTACTTCCATGTTTAGAGTTTCTCTCTGCAACACCCCTCCCCTACTCAGTCTACGAACCGATAGATCCCCTCCCCCCGATGACTTTCTGTGACTTTTTTTACACATATTACGCATGTTTGAGTCATGGTCTGTCACAGCGCCGCCTTTGAAGCTCTGGTCACATGATTCGTGCCCCCTTAAATCCACCAAACCACCCTGCTCGGTCCCAGCTCTGCTTTCCTAACCCTATAAACATTTTCTATGCACTTTCCTCCTTTGCTTCACCCAACATCTACCTCAGTCCCTCATCTCTCTTTTTTTCTCTTCCCTACATTCAGAAGCCACTCTGCAATCATCTGACCACAAGCTCTCCTCAGCTCAGTTTCCTTTAAGTTGCCTTTACGTCTCATCGCTCTAACAACATCCTACACTCTCTCTATCTAACGTCTGAAATCTGTGTTAGTAAATTTCATCAAATCGCTTCGTTAGGTCTAAAGTTTGGTCGAAGACCCGTTAAAAACAAACTGCTCAGAGCTGGGCTGCAGTGAGAAGTGGGGGGAGGTATGGGTCCTGTAATTAGCGCTGGCCTTGAGGGGACGCTGGGACAAAAATGCATGACTCAACAGAAAAAAAGGCAGAAGCTCTGCGTCAGCTCTCATGCTCATGGCTGATCTCAGGCCTTGGTTGTGAGCGGCCCTCCAGACGAAAGAAGAACAACCCCCACTGTGTCCC